CCATTTTAATTATATATGATATGACTTGGTGTTGTCTTCTTTGGGTCCCTTGTGTTGGGTGATCTGTGCACCTCCATGGCCTAAAAGACTATCTCCTTCCCCAGGTTGGGGAAGTTTTCAGCAATTACCTCCTCAAAGACAGTTTTTATCCCTTTTCCTCCCTCTTCTCCTGGTACCCCTGTAATGTGAATATTCTTCCGTTTGGACTGGTCACACAGTTCTCTCAATATTCTTTCATCCTAGAGGCCCTTTTTTCTCTCTGTGCCTCAGCTTCTTTGTACTCCTGTTCTCTAGTTTCTGTTTCATTTGCCACCTACTCTACTTTGTCTAATCTGCTTTTAAATCCCTCCATTATATGTTTCATTTTAGATACTGAATTATTCAATGTTTGTATCTCATTCCTGAATTCCTCCCTGAATTCTTGGGATATTTTTCTGTAGCTTCGTGAGCATGTATATGATTTTTATTTTGAAATCTCTTTCTGGAAGATTTATGAGTTCAGTTTCACTTAGTCCTTTTTCTGGTGTTTGTTGGATTTTGGTTTGAACCAAGTTCCTTTGATGTTTCATATTTGTATGTGGCACCCTCTAGTGCCCAGAAGCTCTACTCTCTGGAGCCTGCTCAGCCTTGGATCAATGGTGGGGGTCACAGGCGAGTCGTGCTTGTGCCTGGGGGAAGGAAACAGCTGTTTCCTGCTTCCCACCTGTAGTGACTGTCTCCACTACCAGGGCCAGTGGGCTGAGTGCCCAGGGAGAAGTCTCTGTGGTTTGCACTGGTAGCTGCTATAGGTGGGACCGCCTTCTAGCTGGCCTGGCACAATGGTGGGGGCATCTTGTTTGCAAGCTGGTGGTGGCCAGGAGGAAGGTGAAGCAGGCTGTGTATTGCAATGGGGGTCCTCGTAGCTCTCTAGCCAGCCAGGGGGATGGAGCACCTGAATCTCCTGAAAGTTCCCAACCTGCTGGGCAGAATGTGCCCAGACAATTTTGTCCACCTGTTCTTTCTCTTGAGAAGCAAGCTCTGTGCAATCCTTGCCCCTTTAGCAACCCTCTTGCTGTTAGGAAGTCCCTCATTCTGCCTGCCTTTCTTTTGTCCCAAAGTGGCTGGTTGTGGATTCGTGTTTTCCACAAGTGGCTGAAATCTCAGTCTCCTCCTGTCTTTGCTTTCCAACCCTACTAATCTCTAGAGCACCATGTAACATAGGTTCATGCTCCCAGAGTGGATCTCATGAGCTGGGTGTTCAGCAGTCTGTGTGATTAATGGGATGAATACATAAATCAAGTAATATAGAAATCAAATGTACAAATACATATGACTTGATTATTTTTCCTACAACTCTTGATGAGTAATCAAAAACAGAATGATTAGAGCCAAAACAGTTCCTGCAACTCGTGACCACCCTCACATGGTTTCGGTATCCTTGAGGAGCATCTCACCCTCGGGCTAGACTCAAGGTCAGATAATGATTGTGTTTTGATCGTGTGTTGAACCCCCTACTCAGAATTTAGATGTTGGAGTTCATTTGCTCAGCAAATGTGAGGAGTGCCTTTTCAGCATTACTCTTGTGCTGCAATGCCTTGAGTCCCCTGGCTGGCCTTTCAGATCTTCAGCATTCTGTTGCATTCCCTCCAAATCTGCGGGTTAGAGGCAGGGTGGAGCCAACACAGTCCTAGGCCTCCACCCCCTCCCCACTCCGTTTCTCTTCCTCCCTCCAGTGAGCTGGGGTAGGGGAAGGGCTTTGGTCTTGCCAGATCACGGCTTTGGTACGTTACCTTTTTCCTTGAGGTGTGCTGTTTTTCCCAGGTGTAGGGAGTCTGGCACAGCCTTTTTTCCTGTTGCTCTTTCAGGATTAGATGTATTTGCTATATTTTCATATTATGTGTGGTTTTGGGAGGAGGATTCTGTCTTATCTCTCATGCCGCCATCTTTCATCCAATCCCACTTACAGTTACATTTTCTTGAGACAAAATGATGTCCTTTCCATGTGAGCAGCTGTCTGGAAGTTGTGGTGTGCTTGAGTTCTGATGTGAGAAGTGTTCTGATATTTCCATAGAGCAGGCTGTTAAGGGGCCTTACGACGCCAGTCACCTCTGGCTTTAGTGGCTGCTCAGCTAACCTAGCTGGGTCAGCCTATTTGATAACTGCAGCTTGCTCACTCTTTCTCTCTGCTTCTAAGAATTCTTGTGAGGACTGTTTAGTGTTGGCCATATAACTCGTTTGGCTAGTTTACTGTTCTCTGTTCTTGAGTCTGGCACTTATAAGCAAGCATTCAAGGGGTGGGGGTTTTGCTCTCTCTGGGGAGAAAAGAGCAGCTGGGTCATGGGCCAGCAAACTGTCTGTAGAAAGGGTCAGATGGTAACTCTTTTAGGTTTTGCAGGCCATGGTCTCTGTCACATATTGGTTTCTGTTTTTTACAACTCTTTAAAGATATAAAAGCATTCCCAGGTCAGATCCTTATAAAAACAGGCCATAGCCAGTCTTGGCCCATGGGCCATGGGCCATGGTTTGCCAGCATCTGAACTAGGTGAAGAAATTAGTTCATTATTAAATGTGTTTACTTTAATGTTTGGGGAACGTGAACCAAGAATAAGAATTTTCTGTTGTTTGTGGTCCAAAGAAGAGATCTGAACTCTAGCATTAAAGTCAGTGACCCTTATCAGTCACCTTGGGCCCATGGAACTGAAGGGAACCTTGACCAGTGTGATAGCAGTTCAGTAGGATGGAGGGATCTTGCTGTTGGTGGAAGAGGACAAGGATGGAAGAGTGGGGTGGAGTGGCCCTGGAATCAAGCTGGAATTAGACAGGTTTAAGGAATACAGTGACTCAGCAAATTTAGTCTCAGAAACACATCTAATTTCCTGAACCTCTGTTGGGATGTTGTTGGAAATCTGGCATGTACAATCAGTTTGACCAGTTTTATAAAAATGAAAACACAGGTGTGTACCCTGGATTCTGAGAACACCAAATTCTGATACATGGGTCCAGATGGGCCTTGTGGCTTTTCTTTGATCACAGGAAGTTCTGTAGAGCAGCCTGGCATGCAGGAAGTGTTAGTTTATTTCAAAGTAGTGTGGGAGATGGGAGGGCATAGTGGTTAGAGAGCTTGGGCTGTGTGACAGACACAGCGGTCCACATTCCTACTCTGCTGCCCACTTGCTATGTGATCCTGGGTGACTGAATTCTCCAAGTGTCAGTTTCCTCACCTGTCAAATGGCAATGACGGTAACCACCACAGAGTGGTTCTGAGAAGTAACTGGGAACAGTATATGTAAAGTACTTCTGTTAGCCCAGCACTCATTACATGAACATTCGATATTAGCAGTTATAACGTGGACATGGGAGAAGTGGAGGAGGAGCTAGTATCTGCAACTTGCTCTTGCCGATACAGCATGTCCTTTAATGTAATCACCAGATAATGAGGGAATGTAACAGGAGTGGTACTGGGTTAGGAGTCAGAAGAACTGATTCGTGTCTATTTAGCTTAGTTTCCTAATTGGTAAAATGGAAATAATATGTGTTGACAGATTGTAAGATAACATGTGAAAAGGCTTTGAGTTCTCTAAGACGTTGGACAGAATTTAAGATGATGGCAGTAACCTGTTCATTTGTTCAGTTTCTTGACTTCTAAATGTACTGGGACAGAGCATCATGGTTGGTGTGGAGCCAGAATGCTTGACTGGCTGCTCCCAAGTTCAGTGCTTGCATTTATAATTTGCAGTTAGGAATGAGTAATACAAAACTGGAGTACTTGTGTAAGATCCTTAACATAGTGGAATTTAAAAAGTGAGTGACCATATTAAATGAAAGAAGCCAATCTTAAAACATACTACATAGTTCCAGCTATATGTCATCGTGGGAAAGGCAAAACCGTGGAGCCAGTAACTAAATTAGTGATGTCGGGGCTGGGATGGGGAGGGAAAGATAGTCTGTTCACATACTAATGTGGGTACGTGTCATCATACATTTGTCCAAAGCCACCGAATATCACCCCAAGAGGGAGCCCTGGTGCGAACTGTGCCTTTAAGGGGTTGTGCTGTGTGAATGTAGGTGCATCACTTGTGACCACTGTCTTACCTGGAGGGGAATGCTGTGCATATGTGGGGCCAGGGGTACATGGGAAATCTCTGTACCTGCCTCTTAATTTTGCTGTGAAAACAAAACTGCTCTAAAAAAATAAATCTTAAAAGAGAGGAGTGACCAGTATGAGGAGAAAGGCTGGAGGAGTTTGATCTCCATACAGAAATATGGCATTATCTTGAAAAATTAGAATGCTCATTCCTTTTGCCTGCAATTCCATTTCTAGAAATTTATCTTGAAAATATATTTGTGCATGCATTTTGTGTGCTGAATTACATATGCACATGGTTACTCATTATATTATTGACAGCAGCAAAAAAGTGGAATCCTGGCTGCCAGTCTCCAGAAGAACCAGTTAACTAGATGATGGGATGTTCTTGGAGTTAAGGGCTGTACACCCCTAAGGGGCAGGGAGCTCTGTGTGCTTGTGGGGCACTCTTCAAGGTACGGAAGCTAGAAAACCAACCAGAGAGGAAGCAAGGTGAAGGACAGTGTGCACAGGATGCCTTCATTGTTACTGCCGCAGTGGTCAGCGGTGATTTCCTCAGTAAGCATGGTGTTATCTCAGAAGAGTGTGAAGTTGTCCTCTGGTTGCATCTGTGGACGAGTAGCTAGGGGACAATGGGAGGGAAATTTACTTTTTGCAGTCTATCCTCTTTATCTTTTGAAATGTGTCTTATTACATATATTTCTATTCAGAAAGTTTGGTCACAGGTCACATTGGAGTTGAAAACTCTTTGAAACATCTGTTTTTTTTCCTTCCACATCTGTGTCTGCCACCTGTTGCTCTGCCTGGTTCCTTTGACCTTGGTGACTTGAGGTCAGTTGGCACTGACCCTAGGCTTACCCTAAACCCCACCCCAAAGTACACTGGTGTTCCTTCTCTTGATTCATGTGGCTGATGGTGTTTCTGTTTCTGCCCCCAGCTTTGGCAGCGTGTGAGCAACTTCCTGCCAAGAACGCAGGTCACCGCTGAGAAGGGGGCCTTAGAAGAAGAGTATCCAGAGGAAGCCAGTTTCAGAGGAATCACACTCCCCACAGCAACATGAGACAGTGCACACCCACATCTGTGTCCGACTGGCGAAGACTGTAGCTCTCCTGGTCAGAGGGTCCTGGAGGCAGCATGCACCAGGAGCCTCTCTAGAGGAAGAATGGAGCCACATATGAACTCTCTACAATGAACACGATTTTCAACTTAGGAAGGAATTTTAAGTAAAACAGTTATATAATTTCCACATAATCAGGTTCAATAGCCTTCTGTGTGAGGTGCCAGCAGTCACCCCCTCCACAGGAGTTAGCAGGATTTTTCTGGCACCAGGTCAATCTCTTCTTGTTTCTTCTGGCAGTGATAAATCTTCAGGACAGGTTTATCTGTTGAATGCTTTTGGGCAGGAGAAAAAAAAACCAAACCTTCTGGAAGCAGCACAAGAGTAGTCAAGCTGAGATCCCTCTGGCACCGTGCACCTTTCCAGAGCCCAGCCTGGACTCAGATGCTCACACCAGAGATTGATCCTGCCTCGGCCACCTCTAAAGCCCATCTGTTCTGGGCGAGCTGGCGTTTCTGGCTGCCTCCTCTGGCCCTCTGCACTGCCATCCGGCTCCCAGGCTTTCTGTTCAGGCAGTCAGATGTTGTGACTTTTGGAATGGAGCTTGTTATCCTTTGGGAACTCGCTTTCTTTCCCAGGCTGGTGCCGTCTGAGGGGACCGTCTGAAGGCCATTTTGCTCTTGGGGACGAGGGCATTGGCCTTACCTGGGTTGTCCACCATGTTCCTGTTGCTGCCTTTTGACAGCCTGATTGTCAACCTGCTGGGCATCTCCCTGACTGTGCTCTTCACCCTCCTTCTTGTTTTCATCATAGTCCCTGCCATTTTTGGAGTCTCCTTTGGCATCCGAAAGCTCTACATGAAAACTTTGTTAAAAATCTTTGCGGTGAGTTGTGCTGTTTACAATGGCTCCTCATGGAGGAGGCAAGAAGTACTGTTGGCAAAGAGTTGCTTTTATCTGGTTAATCATTACGTCTTCATTGGCATGAAGAAAGTGGGGAGAATGGGAAGGGGCATTTTGAGTAAAAAGACTCACTGTGTACTCTTGAAAGCCTTTAGCAGTCTTTCCTTTTGAGCTTATACAGTACTTGTACGTTTGATTCCTCTGAAGGAAGGAGCCTATTCCATGACTCCACACCTTACCTGCTTATTTCAAAGATGGGCTTGGAAATAAGCAAACATCACTGCCAGACTCTACCTTGTCTTACAAAACAGACATTGAAACAGAGTTACTGCTGATATATCCCCTCACTGATGAGTATGGGGGAGTCTTTTCTCTCTTTTAGACATTTAGCTTAAATCGGTTCTTGTATTTCAGACAAAAAGGAATGAACAGAGTAGGGCATTTGATGAATTGTTTCATTTTTGTAAAGATAGAGGAAAAGGATAATGAATGTAACATACATCAGAGCTTAGAACTAATTATACTGCTGAACAGAATTGGTCACAATGTAAAGGAAACTAGTGAGAAGTGGTATTTCCTGGAAGTTGATCTGTGCCACAAGACTTTTAACATCTATTCAAAGATTTGATATTTTATTAGTAGTATCTGTTTTCAGCACTCACCAAATCTTAGGCATTCTCTTCCACAGCTGAGACCATATATAATTTGAGAAACATACTCATAATACTAACCACAACATATAGTATCTTCTGGTTCAGATAATTCTATTGATTTTCCTTTGGTATCTTGTACTTCTGCAGTGGGTAGGTATCTGCATTTTATCAGTAAAGAAGCAAATAAATGGTGCTTTACAGGGAGAAATACTTTTTATGTATATGATTATGTTTTATGTTTTGGTATTTAATATTTCTATAAGAATATGATTTTTTTCCATATTAAAAAAAATTCTGGTAAAATGGGCATAACATAAAATAACCATTTTGAAGTGAACAGTTCAGTGGCATTTAACCTATTCATGTGTTGCACAACCACCAGCTCTCTCTGGTGCCACGATGCTTTCATTACTCCAGAGAGAGACCCCCCCATACTCATTAAGCAGTTGCTCCCCATTTTCCCCTTCCCCACCCGCTAGAGATGGCAAATCTGTGTCCTGTCTCTGGATTTATCTACTCTGGATATTTCATGTAACTGGAGTTATGAAATGTGGTCTTTTGTGATTGCTCATTTAGCACAATGTTTTTGGGATTCACCCATGCTGTACCATGTTTCAGTACATTTTTTTTTTTTTTATGGTTGAATAATTCCAGTATGTGTCTGTACCACAGTGTGCTTGTGCATCTGTCTAGGACTTGCCTATGCACATTCAGTAGTGTTGTGTCCATCCGTGTGTTTGAGCACTTGTCTTCAGTATACAATTTTTGAGCACTGCTTATGGTCTCTGGTGTTATCTAGTTGCTTGCTACTAGAGAGTGACCTGGATCACCTACGAGCTGGTTAGAAATGGAGTTTCCAGGTCCACTCCAGGCCTGGTGGGTTAGAATCTGCATTTCATTCAGCAGCTGCACAATCAAGTTTGGAAAGTGGTAATTGAGTCAGTCTTTGGGCTGGCCTCTCTTCTAAGGTGTAGTATTTACTCTAATTAATCAGAAAGTGTAATTTTCTTAAATTTCAATCTAAAAAAATATCAGGAGAGCCAGGGTTCCTGTGGACCATCTGACATATTCATGCCCTTTGCCTGCTGCAAAACATAGACCCGTGTAGAATTGCTAGAACAGCTGGCAAACTTTCAGGAGACTAGGGAGTGATGTCTAGCTTTCATTCCAGTTTAAAGGCAAGTGACTAACTCAGACTTATGAAAATCCTTATTTTAAGAACAGAAATCCGAGAGTTATTGATTGGCCCAGGGTTATTCTGTAGTACCCAGGATTTTTTACCTTGGATCACGTGGGTGGGACAAAAGGCCTACAATCTATAATACCTATTTCATTTTGAAAACGTCCCCCCAAATTGATATTTTTAAGTTCGTAGCCAATTAAATTTTTCTTATTGTGACTATGTTTTAAGATATACGTTCTTCTGACCTTTTTTTTTGGTATCATTAGTCTAAAATTACATGAGGAACATTATGTTTAGTAGACTCCCCCGATCACCAAGTCCCCCCACACATTCCCCATTGCAGTCATTGACAATCAGCGTAGTAAGATGTTGTAGAATCACTGCTTGTCTTCTCTGTGTTGCACAGCCCTCCCCATGCTCCTCTCCCACATTATACATGCTAATCATAGTGCCCCCTTTCTTTTTCCCCCCTTCCCACCTGACCTCCCCAGTCCTTTTCCCTTTGGTAACTGTTAGTCCATTCTTGGGTTCTGTGAGTCTTCTGGTGTTTTTCTCCTTCAGTTTTTCCTTTGTTCTTATACTCCACAGATGAGTGAAATCATTTGGTACTTGTCTTTCTCCACCTGGCTTATTTCACTGAGCATAATACCCTCTAGCTCCATCCATGTTGTTGCAAATGGTAGGATTTCATTTTCTTCTTATGGCTGAATAATATTCCATTGTGTATATGTACCACATCTTCTTTATCCATTCATCTACTGATGGACACTTAGGTTGCTTCCATTTCTTGGTTATTGTGAATAGTGCTGTGATAAACATAGGGGGTGTATTTGTATTTTTCAAACTAGGCTGCTGTGTTCTTAGGGTAAATTCCTAGGAGTGGAATTCCTGGGTCAAATGGTATTTCTATTTTTAGTTTTTTGAGGATCCTCCATACTGCTTTCCACAATGGTTGAACTAGTTTATGTTCCTACCAGCAATGTAGGAGGGTTCTGCTTTCTCCACATCCACACCAACATTTGTTGTTGTTTGTCTTTTTGATGGTGGCGATCCTTACTGGTGTGAGGTGATATCTCATTGTGGTTTTAATTCGCATTTCTCTGATGACTAGCAATGTGGAGCATCTTTTCATGTGTCTGTTGGCCATCTGAATTTCTTTGGAGAACTGTCTGTTCAGCTCCTCTGCCCATTTTTTAATTGGACTATTTGCTTTTTGTTTGTTGAGGTACGTGAGCTCTTTATATATTTTGGATGTCAACCCTTTATCGGATCTGTCATTTATGAATATATTCTCCCATACTGTAGGATGCCTTTTTGTTCCATTGGTGGTATCGTTTGTTGTACAGAAGCTTTTCAGTTTGATGTAGTCTCACTTGTTCATTTTTGCTTTTGTTTCCCTTGCCCAGGGAGATACGTTCATGAAGAAGTCGCTCATGTTTATGTCCAAGAGATTTTTGCCTATGTCTTTTTCTAAGAGTTTTATGGTTTCATAACTTACATTCAGGTCTTTGATCCATTTCTAATTTACTTTTCAGTATGGGGTTAGACAGTGATCCAGTTTCATTCTCTTGCATGTAGCTGTCCAGTTTTGCCAACACCAGCTGTTGAAGAGGCTGTCAGTTCCCCATTGTATGTCCATGGCTCCTTTATCATATATTAACTGACCGTATATGTTTGGGTTAATATCTGGACTATCTACTGTTCCAGTGGTCTGTGGGTCTGTTCCTGTGCCAGTACCAAATTGTCTTGATTACTGTGGCTTTGTAGTAGAGCTTAAAGTTGGGAAGCGATATCCCCCCTGCTTTATTCTTCTTTCTCAGGATTGCTTTGGCTATTTGTGGTCTTTTGTGGTTCCATATGAATTTTAAAACTATTTGTTCCATTTCACTGAAGAATGCTGTTAGTATTTTGATAGGCATTGCATTGAATCTGTATATTGCTTTAAGCAGGATGGCCATTTTGACAATATTAATTCTTCCTAGCCAAGAGCATAAGATGAGTTTCCATTTGTTAGTGTCCTCTTTAATTTCTCTTAAAAGTGTCTTGTAGTTTTCACAGTATAGTTCTTTCACTTCCTTGGTTAGGTTTATTCCTAGGTATTTTATTCTTTTTGATGCAATTGTGAATGGAATCGTTTCCTGAATTGTTAGTGTATAGGAAAGCAACAGATTTCTGTGTATTAATTTTGTATCCTGCAACTTTGCTGAATTCAGATATTCTAGTAGTTTTGGAGTGGAGTCTTTAGGGTTTTTTATGTACAATATCATGTCATCTGCAAACAGGGACAGTTTCCTTGCCAATCTGGATTCCTTTTATTACTTTGTGTTGTCTGATTGCCATGGCTAGGACCTTCAGAACTATGTTGAATAACAGTGGGGAGAATGGGCATCCTTGTCTTGTTCCCGATCTTAAAGGAAAATATTTCAGCTTCTTGCTGTTAAGTATAATGTTGGCTGTGGGTTTGTCATATATGGCCTTTATTGTGTTGAGGTACTTGCCCTCTATATCCATTTTTTTGAGAGATTTTTTCATGAATGGATATTGAATTTTGTTGAATGCTTTTTCAGCATCTGTGGAGATGATCATGTGGTTTTTGTCCTTTTTTTGATGTGGTGGATGATGATGATGGATTTTCGAATGTTGTGCCATCCTTACATCCCTGAGATGAATTTCACTTGATCATTGTGTATGATCCTCTTGATGTATTTTTGAATTTGGCTTGCTAATATTTTGTTGAGTATTTTTGCATCTACGTTCATCAGGGATATTGGTCTGTAATTTTCTTTTTTGGTGGTGTCTTTGCCTGGTTTTGTTATTAGAGTGATGCTGGCTTCATAGAATGAGTTTGGAAGTATTCCCTCCTCTTCTATTTTTTGAAAAACTTTAAGGAGAATGGGTATTATGTCTTCTCTGTATGTCTGATAAAATTCAGTGGTGAAACTATCTGGCCCAAGGGGTTTTGTTATTGGGTAGTTTTTAGATTACCAATTCAATTTCTTTGCTGGTAATTGGTCTGTTTAGATTTTCTGTTTCTTCCTTGGTCCATCTTGGAAGATTGTATTTTTCTAGGAAGTTGTCCATTTCTTCTAGGTTTTGCAGCTTTCTAGCATATAGATTTTCATAGTATTCTCTAATAATTTTTTGTA